CCGACCCCATGTGCGCACCTGGCCCCGTGTGCGCGTCCGCGAGGCACCACCCAATGGGAGTCCGCTTACAGCGTCCGGCGTTGGTCGGTGCTGCTGGAAGCATCCTAAATGCTCCACCGCGGGGAAGTTGAGAAAACTAGACTGTAGGACTGAACGGTATGCAGTCATTAAAAGTGTGTTCTCAAAGAGTTTTTAAATTTAGAATGGTGAGGAAATGCTTTCAATATGACAGAAAGTAGGAGAAAAGCAGCGTATGGAATGTCACGTGGGGTCTGCTTACAGCTGTGTGCGAGGAACAGAAATGTTCCAGGCGGATGCTGTGGGTGGGGCCACCAGTGATTTCCCCCTTATTCCTCCTGCTCTGTTTCCCGAGGGGCCCCCGATGACCCTCACCCTTTGTAGTGGGCTTGGGGCACCTGGGGGCTGCCTGTCCAAGTGGTGGGTTTATGAGCGGCCAGGCCAGGAGAAAGATGGACTCCGTTGGGGTCGGTAATGGGGTGCGATGAAGGAATGAGGCAGAACTGGAAATGAGGCGTGGGATGCACGTGACCCCGCAGGGCAGACCCTGAGCTGTGCCAGCAGCAGCCCGGAGGAGAGGGCAGGGGCATTGGGCAGGGAGCGTGACCTGGGCCGCCGGTGTGTTCTGAGCACTGTCCCCAACCGGGGGGTTTTCTCAGAGCCTGCTCAGACCCTTTGTGAAAACAGCATTTTAGTTTAGTAATCCTGATTTTAATAAAAGCCACCACCCTCTTGCCGACCAGCCCTCTGTAAGCGACGCTCACTGAGCAGAGCACCTTCCTATGAAGTCTGAAAAAACTCAGTTTACATAGAATTGCAAAAGAAGTATATGAAGGTTGGGGGGAAAAGTAAGAAAATGAGGTCGTGTGTGAAGTCTGACCGGTCCACGCAGATGTGTGTACACACCTGTCACCACAGCCTTTAAAATAAACCTGGAGTGGTGTCCTGCGTCACCTCAGCACCCTGCCTTTTTACCTGGCTATCCTTAACGTGGTTTCATGAGCCCTGCCCCCTTCCTTCTGTGAGCTGGTGGGGCACTGAGGGCCTATCCAGCCAAACCTCGTGTCCACTTACAGCTGGGTGGTCTCGGTCACCTCCTGGGCCTCCATTTCCTCCCCAGTGCAGTGGGGATGGTCACTGTACCTGGCCCGCTGGGCTGGTTGGACTGGACCCCAATCAGAGAGCCCCAGGCAGGCCCACAGTTGCCACCATTGTGTCTGAAAGTCAGGTGTTTCTTGACTGACATAAACCTGGGCTGCAGAAGGATGGATCAGGGTGTCCAGGCCATGAGAGAGGGACTTCTCTCTTTTATTCAAAGATTCCCTGTTCCATGTGAACTTCTAAGTCTGTTTTGATCCCAATTATGAACAGTTATGCCTTAAAACCATAGAGATTTTGTTATTGTCTGACTTTTTACCTTGATCCTGATTCGGCTGATTTAATTTGAAGGATGAATATTAGTATCTTTTAAATTAAAATGCGTGCCTGCTCACAGCCGCCTACAAGAACCTCACCTTTGCCTGAGCTGTTTAAGCACAGATACCTTCCTTAATAGTAGCTCATTACAACTCCTCTACCTATAAAACTCAAGATGCTCGCTGCCCTGGTATTTCCAAGTTTCAGGCGCAAGGCCTGGGAGCCCATGGGCAGCCTGCGTCCTCTCCCTGGGGCCCCGGGTAGGAGCAGTGGGTAGACTGATCTGTCATGTACAAGTGACACCGATCGCTTCTTGGTCCCACTCGTGGGCATCCCTGTCCTGCGTCCAGCTGGAGGTGACCCAGCCGATGTGGAAGTGGCCAGGCGCTCCCCGTCCCACGTGCGCTGACTCTCTGTCGGGCGGGTGGGGTTTCAGGAGTGCGGCGGGTGAAGAGAGAAGACGTGGAGGCTGGCGGCGAGAACCTGGTCCGCTACAAGAAGGAGCCGTCAGGATGCCCGGTGTGCGGCAAGGTAACGCGCCAGCTGGGTTTTCTTTAGGGAAACTCAGAGCTCTCCCCACTGCACATTGGTGGGAAGGAATGTTTAGGGTCACAGCGGATACTCGGGTGTCCAGAGCCACAGCACCCCTCACTCAGTCCTCTTGTCTTCTGCTCTCTTGCCTTCGGGGTGGGCCTCCAGTGAAGGAGCTGAGGAGTGGGTGCTTCTCCTGACAGCCTCCTCTCCCCTTGGCCATGATTTTTCACCGATGCTGCCCTGGCACTCATGCTCTGTCTCTAGTACCCTGTGCCATGTCCTTGTGGTAAAGGAGGCAGGACAGCCCGGGTTTATTTTCCTGGTCAATGCCGATCCCCCCACAGCATTTTCAAGTGAGGGACTGACCCAGCCACGGCCACATGCTCTTTGTACTTTCCATCGATGCCAGCACCTCAGTGAGCATATCTGTTCAGGGCATCCGAGCTGGCTGTCAGAGGGGGCTGAGTCCTTGGCAGACCCTGAATGTCCAGAGTGCACGGCCCATCAGAGCAGCCGGGCCACATCCAACAGCGAGCACTGGTCAGAACCACGTGGGGAACCCTGCCCGGAAGCTCCCGTCCAGGCCACGTCAGCTGGCCATGTGAAATGGTGGTGGTCTTTGCCAACAGGCTCCTGGTCTCAGCTGGAAGTGCAGTTACTTGTTCCTCCCATGACTCAGGTCGCCGAGTCTTTCAGCCACGTGCAGTCCACATGAGCCCCGTGGCCCTGGAGGGACAGGGCACCCTCAGCCCCCTCCAGGTCCCGAGGGTGGAGAAGCAAAGGCCTTGGGTAGACGGGCAGCTGTGACTTGGCCCGGCCTGCCAGCACGCGGCAACACTGCCAGATGTTTTGACCTTTTCAAGAGAAAACAGAAATCTGTGTTTTTATGAGAAGTTTCCTGTCATTTTTCAAGCCACAAAGCGGACAGGTCAGCAGAGTGGCATGGCCTGTGGGCCCCAGGTTGGGGCTCTGACTTAGTGTGGGTTTGGGGGCCAGTGAGGCTAGAGGGAAATGGGGAGCTGGTGCAACAGAACACATACCAGAGCCCAGTGGCCGGGCCCCATCAAGCCCGGGTAGGGGTGGTAGAGGCTAGGTTGGCCCCATGTCTAAGCTAGGCACTTGCTGACCGCTGGGACAGAGCCTGCACCCTGTGTCCAGCCCATCCTCCCACGCAGCCTCCCTGAGCTCCATCTAGGGGCTGTTGGCCCCACGTCACCTGCAGAACGGCTTCTCTTTCATTCGTCTGTTGCATTCTCTTCCTGCGAGGCTTGATGAGCTATAGATCTGCTTTCTGGGTTATTTGGCCGTCGGGAAGGCTGTCCGGATGGAGACTCTCAGATCAGTGGGGACCTGGGGGTGTTCTCTGCTGCCCGTCTTGTCCACTGAGCTCTGCTGGTGGACACGGGGCCACATCGGACCTGTGGGCCACCGTGTCCCCAGCCTGGCCCCAGTGGGTGAGTACTGAGTAAATGAGTCCCCACACCCATCATTTCAGGAAATACCAAGAAGTTGGGAGAAGTGATAGGAATTATGCGTGAAATAACGGAGCACAACTGAGGATGTAACTCTTTGATACCCACTTTCAGAAAACCGTAGCAGTTTCTGTGACTTACTGTCTTGGTAGGCCCTGTCCTAGTGAAATATTTAAGTAAGCTGAATAAAACTGAGCTGAATACTCTTTGTAGTGAAGGCTGGATAATGGTTAATTGTGTATATAATGTAAGCACCGATTTAAATGATTAAACCGTCCTGATTGTAACACTAAGTGATTATTTGTATATCTCACTGAGTTGCTGCAACTCAAACTTTGTAGGTAAACATACTGCGTTTTTGTGTTCAGTTACGGTTCTCAGTGAGGCCCGATGTGCACGTAGCAGGCTTCCCCACCCCGAGCTCTCCTGCCCGCAGGTGTTCTCCTGCAGGAGCAACATGAACAAGCACCTGCTGACCCACGGCGACAAGAAGTACACCTGTGAGATCTGCGGGCGCAAGTTCTTCCGTGTGGACGTGCTCAGGGACCACATCCACGTCCACTTCAAGGTTTGCAGGCATCGAGCGCAGAGGTGGGGGGCGGGGCGCGGGGGGCAGGGCCCGCCCCCGGGCAGGCTCGGCTGCTGCGATGCTGCCCTTCAGATAAGCCCTCAGGAGTGTTGTTCCTCGTGCAGCCCACCTGCAGGGCTCGAGTTAAAATCCCTCCGTGCTAGGTACCTCCCAAGAGAAGAGAAAGAGTCGGGATGGGGGCGTTTGCTTCCCTCCCTGCCTTTGAGGCCCTGACTTAGGGGAGTGGGGCGTCCCAGGCGACCCGAGGGAGCGGTTTGCGTCTGATGTTCCAATAACTGGTTAAAGCTCCCGCCAGGCGTGTTAGAAATCGGCCATGGTGACTGTTTTCCAGGACATCGCGCTAATGGATGACCACCAGAGGGAAGAGTTTATCGGCAAGATTGGGATCTCCTCGGAGGAAAATGATGATAATTCTGACGAGAGCGCAGACTCGGAGCCTCACAAGTACAGCTGCAAGAGATGTCAGGTAACCAGACTGTGGCCTTCACGGGCCTGGGGCTGCCCGGAAAGGAGGCTTATGCTGCAGGGCTGCTGGCCTGCAGGGGCTTGGGTGTGGGGGCCTGCCTCCCAGACTTCCTGGAAGGCGCCCCAAGTCTCGTTGCTTCTCAGGACGGTGGGTGTGGGTCTCACCCCGACAGGCAGACCACCGTCTCAGAG